AGCGACTGCCTTCGGCTCAGGTCATGATCCTGGAGTCCCGGGATCGAGCCCCACATCAGGCTCCCTGCTCAGCAGGGAGTCTGCTTCTCCCTCTGACCCTCCCCCCCATCATGCTCTATCTCATTCTCTCTCTCAAATAAATAAAATCTTTAAAAAAAAAAAGTATAAAGTAAATATCTATGAACCCATGCTGATATAAATGAGTCATTGAACAAACAAATAAGTAGAAAAGATACAAATCTGTGTGGAATTCCAAATAATGTATGTAGATACTTGCCCTTGAGGAGTATAACTTCCCATTCCATAAGTGTGGAAGTACCAAGTGACTTCCTTCCAAAGAGTGAAGTACAGGGGCGCCTGGGTGGCTCAGTTGGTTAAGCGTCTGCCTTCGGCTCAGGTCATGATCCCAGATTCCTGGGATCGAGCCCCACATCTGGCTCCTTGCTCAGTGGGGAGCCTGCTTCTCCCTCTCCCTCTCCCTGCTACTCCACCTGCTTCTGCTCTCTGTCAAATAAATACAAATTCTTTAAAAGAAAAAAAAAACAAAGAGTGAAGCACAGAGATGGGGGCAAAAAAGAATAACCTTACTGTGGAGACACCCAATACTACCTTGGCCAAGTGGTCAAGGTCAACATCTAAGGGCTTATTGCTGGTTAGATGCAATGCAGTATCTTCCCTGGAACAGAAAAAGGAACTTAGGTAAAAATTAAGGAAATTTGAATAAAGTATGGACTTCAGTTTTTTGTTTTTTTTTAAATGAGCACAAGATATAGACAGGCATTTTTCAGAAAAAGAAACACATATGGCAACAAACATATGAAGAGGAGGTTCAACATCAGCAGTGATCAAGAAAATGCAAATTAAAGTCACAGTGAGATATCATTTTGCACCCATTTCATTGGCAGAAATTTAAAAATCTGAAAGAGGATGTGCACCCATAGATAGAATCTATTATGAACCCTGTGGGTCGTCCTTGTGAGGACTTGGTACACAGAGCGAGATGGAGACCAATGTTGGGTTTTGAGCAGAAGACCCCTCTGGCTGCTGGGCTGAGGACAGACTGCAGGGGGCCCAGGCCGACGCAGGGAGACCAAGTAGGAGTCCAGGGCGCGAGCAGATGGCAGCTTGGACCAGTGTGGCTTCAGTGGAGGTGGCAACAAGAGGCGGGAGTCTACTCGATGCCCAACTGCCTTCTATCACCCTACGTTGAATTTATTTGTATACTTGACTCTGCCCACACACCCCTAGAGGGCAAAGGATGTCTAACTCATCATTAATAATCAGTCCTTGCCACTGGCCCAGCACCAGTGGAAGTACCCAGGAGTGAATAAATGAACAGCTGCAGTCATACTGTTTCTTTGCCCCTTAACCCTCTATGGCTCCCTATTACGTGGGAAATGATCGAACAAGGCTCTTCTTCCCAAGCCTTTTCTTACACAGTCCCCTCCTCCAGGAGAGGCAAAGGCCCACACTGAGCACACTCAAAGGGGAGTCAGGCGTGCTAAGCGCCCTGCACATAAGGGAGCTTGCCTTGGGGATTTGTCTTGTTTTTCCATCTGTACCAGGGACCCAGCACCATGTGACCCATAGGGACATGAGGAGCCTCATCTGATTGGTATAAACCTTGAGTCTCTGCCAGGAAAGTAATTTTCCCAGCCCTGAGAGTGGCAGGCCCCGAGGGCAGGAGATGCCTACTGCCCAAAGAAAACCTCACCCATGGGTGTGTCTTACAGGCCCAGGCAAGAAGGAATGTGGGCCAGGATGAGAGGTGATAATCAGGTCCCTGGACTTGTTCTGCCCTCAGAGTTTCAGGACCTTCGGGTCTGGCGAGGCCAATCTTGGGAACTACGGTCCTATGATGCAACAGAGGAAGCCTCCTTGTCCCACCAACATCTTCCCCAGACTCTTTTTTTTTTTTTTAATTCTAAACCCAGACTCCTTAATAGAATTAAGCTGAGCATTATTCCCTGGGATGATAAAAGGTTGGGGCGGGGAGGGGTGGGTGGCATGGAGGGACCAGGCTTGGAAAGAGGAAGAAACGAAGGAAATGCTATAGGGTTGGGGCACAGGATCCACAGGCCTGGTCTCAGGGCCCAAAGAATCTGGTCAGGGCACGTGCCTGTGAGGAATGTCCTTGGAACCCATTCTAGCCCATGTTTGAGTTCCAAAGGGGAACATCTGATTGGCTGGGCTTCTTGGAGGACAAGGGTCTGAACTTCTAGCTTTTTTAACTAGACTCCTGAATCTCCCCCAATTTCCAGGGCTGGGCAGAGGAGGTTCACCAGAAGAAAGTCAGAGAATGCATACTGGACAGCCAAACTTGGCCAGTGCCCATTACAAACCTGAATGCACCCCCAGGGCATCACTTCTCTGGGTGAAGCATGGCCTTCTTGCCCTGAAGAACAACGTGAATCTGTCGAAGCCTCCCTGCTTGGGTGACTCTGGATCACTAAATGCCTTCCCGTTGGAGGGTATAGCTTGGCTTTGCTTGGGGGGGTGGTGTAGGACATGGGAAGTGTCTTAGAGAGAGAGCAGACTCCAGTGGTTTGCACATGGCAAGACCCCCACCCTCAGCAATGGCAATGATGTGTCAGGTAGGCCAGAATGGCTGGTGATGGGGCCCCAGATCCCATTCCCCAGTTCGTTAGGCAACCTCTGGAATCCCCTGAGGGCTAGTCCACGGAGTCTTTCCCATCCCCCAAGCCTTAGTGACAACACCCACTCTCCAGCCACACCTCAGCCTCCTCCCTTGATGGCTCAAGAATCACTGAGCCTGTGCGGGCAGAGGCAGAGGCCAGGAAGGATCTCTGATGCCCAAGAAGTCCCCACTGCCGGCTGCGAGGCAAAAAACAGCCAACTTTTACAACATACCCCAACCTCCCCGTCCCTGCTAGATAGAAGAGTCTGCAGAGGGAGAGAGAAAGGCCAGCATGGAGGGAGGATGGGGCCAGGAAGGATCTGGGTGTGGTGGAGGGATATAAGCGGAAGGTGAGGGCAACCTCAGTCAACTTCAAGGTTTTGCCTCCAGGGTGGGAGGTGGTGTGGGCCTTTAGCCCGCCAGGAGTGGCCTCAGGGATCACTCTGGAGGGTGGTTCAGTGGGTATTGTGATGCCATAGGTGGGTCCAGGTGAGAGTCCCAGTGGATTCAATTTTGTCCTCTACCCTCCTCCCCATGGGGCTCTGAGCAGACTTGCTTGGCTGCACCTGCAGACGGGCATTCTGAGGGACCTCCAATGCCCCACCATGCCTCCTCCCCACAACGGGGCTTCTACCATCACCCTTGACCCCCTCCCTCCTTCCCTCCAGCCCCATGAGCTGAATTCATCCTCAGATTAGTGAGATTCTCCCAGGGTACGAGGAAGAGACATGGCTTTTGTTGATGGTGGCACACCCTATTTGCAGGGGGTGCTGAGTATTTCCCCAATCCACTGTCCACCGTCCCCTCCGTGAGCCAGGCCAAGGGTGGGGACCCAACAGCATCTGGTCGGGGAGGGCAGGAGGTCACCGAATGTGTTCCCCAGGCTCCCCGGCAAGGTTGGATGCTACCTGAAGCTCACAGCTCTTGCTGGGGCATCCTCTTCTCCAGCTACAGCTGCTCTCCGTCCAGGGACAGCCCCTTCCTCTGGCTCTTCAGGCGTAGGCCTGCTGATGCCTCCTCCTCTGCTTCACATCTCTTGTTCAGTTCTCTGAATTCTTCCGATTCCTGGCTTCCAAAAAAAAAAAAAAAAATCAGAATCCTGTAG